TCCAAGTATGACCTAAGTGTGTCACAAAATTTCAAAGTTATCAACGTTAATGAGTCATTATTATTGTAGTATCAATGGAGAATCGACATTGTGCATCTGATAGCCGCTGAATAGTAAACATTTTTCTATCAAATTATGCTGGAACAACTCGAATTCGGCCCTGACGACGCGAAATTGTCCACGATCGCGACCGAGCAGCTTACAACTTCGCTTTCTAATTGTGTGGTCGTTCTATATAGTTATAAACTATATATACCACGCTCTACCCATAACGGAGCTCATTGTCTCGTGTGGCCGAGCAAGCGGGCGGGCGCGCGAGCGACCTGGGTGATCTCGCCACTCGCCTCTCATGCATGCATGTGTGTGTGTGTGTGTACAACTTATATACACAGCTCGAGCGCGAGACTCGCTTCAAACGAGACTCCGATCGAGCTCGCGAGCTAGTATAATATGTAACCCGAGAGCGCCAGAAAGAGACGCGGGTCTTGTGCCGTGCTGATGTTTCTCTCCCGTTCCTTCCGCGTCACGATCCTGCTCGAGGTCTTTTTTTTCTCGGTCGATTCGTTCGCTTATGTGACTTCGCGAGAGCTGTGCAGCATACGAGCCCTATTTTGTCCGCTGTCGTATAGCAGTACACGAGCTTCGACTGCTGTCAACTTTCGATGGACGTACTCGCGTGAGGGTCCGATAATACCATCGCGGATTCTGCTCCTTTTCATCGATTCCATATTCTTCTTTGCTTTGTACTTTCGTTATATTTTTCACCGTTCGCCATTGTCTTGGATTGGATTTTTTGAATTCATAGCTTTTGAATAGCAATTACCTGCGAAGGAACTGGATATAAATATCACCCATACAATTTTTAAAGGTAGCTTCGATTTTGCAAAATTTTACCGTGAGAGTAAAATTAATAATCTAAAAATGATTATTTCTAATATTGTTAAATATACAACCATTTATTGATCGGTTTTCGTTCAATTTTCTATTTCAAAAAATTGAGATCAGTTTTTAATGCCACTTAGAGACTCCAACACTAGATGGCGAGTATCAATTTATCTGTAAATCTGCTAGTGAAAAAGTAAAAATATTTCTATAAATAAGACTAGCTAAAACAACCTATATTAACCTCTTAACCTGTCCAACTTCATTTTACTTCAAGCTTTAATTTATGGATTCAAAAAGATTATCAGTTTATACTATTTTGATGAAATATTGAAATTGTTAAAAACAGTTCTTAAGCGTCAGTAAATATTTTTATTGAAAAAAAGTGAACGATTCGCTATTTCGAGTACGAAGTGCTTATAGTTCATAAGTGCGGATGACGCTCGGCAAAATTCCTTCCGCGCACATACGGTGAAATGACTTTACGTTTTCACATGCTCTTTTCCCTCGCATTTCCCCCTTTAGCTTTTTTCTTCCTCTTCAGAGAGCTCTGCATGCAATAAAAAATCCTTTTCGTACATGTCGAGCATCCTGCGCGCTTTTTTATCGCTTACAACTATAAAGCGAATTTCGTTTGATACATCTCGTTACGTATCCACTTTTCATTTTATTGCAATTTTCATATATTTCATATATATATCTGTCAACTGTGCGCACATTATATATTTATATTCGAGCAAAAGAAAAATTTAATACTGGATAAATTTTACATATTTCGAATCTACAATGTTTCTTTTATTTCGCTTAAAAATCCACTTTAATCCCCGAGTACTCGAGAGCGCGAGTTAACTACTCTTTTTTCGAGCAAAAAAAGTGAAAAAAAAAAGCAGCTCTTTACCGAGATATTCAAGTCACATACGATTAAGCGAGCCGATGACTCTCAGCGAGGTATTACGCAGAGATAATACTCGACGCGTCAATGGACGACTAACCGAGTATTCAACGAAAGAGTAAATGTTTCGTTTGAGACGTTACGTCAAAAAAAGAGAGAGGAAAAGAAAACGAAAAAAACAGAGCTTGCATGGTCGTCAGTTTTAAAAATTCTACGATCGAGCGCGCGAGTGTATATTTTTAGAGTCCCATGGAGAGCAGGAGAGCAAAAGAGAACCGAAACAAATTTAATATGCGACCTTTTCCTTTGAAAATCTTGCTTTCTCAAAGACGAGCGCAAATTTGCTTTGATTTTTTTTCTCTGCAAGCTCTGCTCTCTCACTCTGGCTCGGGCTTCAAAGTCTCTCTCTCTGTTCGTAATTATAAAAATACTCAAGATTTTGACCGAGGAACACGCGTTTTCTTATTTTTTTGCTACGTTTGCTACTCAGAGCGCAAACAGCAGTATATTATACATATATCCTTAATTACACTTTGCAATCGCAGCAACGCGCAGTTGCACGTTTTTTTTTGCAAATTGTGTGTAGATGTATACGCTAGTAACAAGCTCGATACGTACCGCGTCTCACGTACATACAAGCGAACGTTTTAATCCAATCACAATTCTGATTCACGAGCTGTAGGTGCAATACGTATAATACGCGCGTCTATCCTTGGCCCGCGTAATGTAGTCAGCTTTATTGGGCTCTGCCGTACGCTCAGCCTCGAGCGAAGAAGCGGAAAAGACGAAAAAAAGTCGATAAAAGGGACTCGAATCCTCTGCTGCTTCTCCGCACGGAGCGCGGAGTGTAAGACATCTCGGCGTTATAAGAGCCTAGGCGTTTTTCATATAACGCCGCATAAAAGTGCAGAGACGTGCCCCGCGTACGGGGTATATAATAATGCGCGCTTGATTGAATTCCGCGGCATCGTGTTGTATGCACGCGCGTGTATCCTTTGAGCTGCTGCTGCTGCTGCTGCTGGCATATTATACTCGAGTGCCTAATAGAGCAGTGTGCAACAGCCAGAAGCTACTCGCGCAGAGTCGAGCTGAGGCAATTCGTCGGGGGGCACACATAACAACCCGTACGCGCCGCGTCGCATCGAGAGAGAGTTCCGTTTTCATCTCGATCCGCGTGAATATATGTAGCGTATCATATACATTTTATGGGTAAAAAAGAATACGTTCGGAGCAGCTGCTTGAGTATTTTTTTCGATCGTTGGGTGCGTGCGTGCGTGTGCTGCAGTATATATGTGTCGGAGAAATAAGGAGCTGCGGAATTTTCAATTTCGCGGTCGCGAGACAAAAAAGGAGCGTGCACGCTGTATATTATATGCAGAACACCGCGCGAATGATGGATGGCCGATGCGAGCAAGAAAATTTTTTTACGTGGGCAGTGTATGATACGGTATGTACAAGTGCACTACGGCCGTATACGTAATATTATTATTATTATTATTGTTGTTATTATTATTCGAATGTCATTGCGTTGAGAGCGAGTTGACTATCAAATAGGGTGGCTCGAGACAATCGGCAAGGATCACGTCCAGTCAATATTATAGAGGGCAAAGCCAGTATAACCGAGCTGCAATTGTGTATATCTCTATGTTATGAAGATAAGTCGTATGCACGACGCCGTTGTTGTCTTACCACTGATGATCCTCCTCAATCGAGGAGTTGTTCTGAGCTTGAGGACTTATGCATTATCATTTCCTATCTCGCATTATTGCATATTCATTGTCTTGGAATAAAATAACATTGCTTAAAAAGCATTCTTTCCAGCATGATTTATTTAATAATATATTTCGAATATTGAATGTCACGTTAAAATGTATATAGTGTACATTATATCATAATATAAATATATGCACGTGCATAGCAACGACTATCAGAGTTTATTGATTTTTTGACATAATTATTCAGTGATGTATGCGACGCGGCGCAAATCGGTATCTTCGGTTTTAACTTGAATTAAATTGTCTAGTGATCACTCATTTAAACATTTCGTGTGTATTTGTCTAGCGTCGCGATCGGTAAATTCCCGTATATGTTTGTAACTTTTTGTCGAAACTTTTGCGCCACGCGTCCGACTTTTTTTCAACTTTTTTGCGCGACACAATTCTTTTTCGTTGTTGAATTTTCAACGCAAAATTTTAGCGAACATTTTCCGAAGTGAAGTGCATACTATTGATAAGTTTTGTAATACGTGTTATGACTGAGGCGGGGAATCATTTTTAATTTCATTGGAAAAGCATTAAACATTTTCATTGTTTAGTACTACCGTTTCGTTCTGGCATCATCGCTGCATTGTCGCATTTTCACTAAATTATCGCCACGTTACGTTATATTTGTCTTCATCACGTTGTCGCAATTTCCACCAATCACCAATTTCAGATCAAAACTTGATAAACTAGTGTAAATAAAGTTAGTCAGGATTAAAAATAACAGAATATTTTGCTTTGTTGTAAAATGTCAAAACGTAAAAATGAAGAATCCTCGAGTCAACAAAAAAAAAAGAGAAAAAGATCATCCTCATTGAAAATACCTATGTCTTCGACTAGTTATCTTCAGGAATTACGTGTTGGTGACAAAACAGCGTAAGATCAAAAACTCAATTACTTTTTACAATATTCGAATAAATATGAAATTGATCAAACAAAATAAATTTTTAGTTGCGTCATTGGTTTCGTAGAATCAATGTCGGAAGACGTATTCACTAACAGATCCAATGAAAACAATTTCAAATTACTTAAATTTATTTTGAACAACAACGAGGGGTTCAAAATTCAGTGCAATATTTTCGAGGACAATATAAAGCAATTTTCAGATCATATAAAATTAAATCAGGTTCTACATTTATCATTGATAAAATCAATCATATATAGTGTTACTATTGAATAAATTTCATTATTTTAACGTTTCCCATCAGAAATTGATGTTAGAAAAAGTAAGAATTACAGAAAAAAAGAATTACACGAAAGGAAATGCAAATTATATGGTACAGGTAGAATCGTATTCTACAATAACGAATTTAGGATCATTTCATATAAATACGAAGAAAGTAAAATTAATTACATTCGATCAAATAAAAGAAACGAAAGGTTTAGTCAGTAAGTCAGTCACAAATCTGAGATATAATTTCACCAGTTTTAAAAATTTTTAAATCAATGACTTCCAGAAATTGAAGGGTATTTAATTTACGAATTCACGCAAAGAGCGCGGAATGAACCAAACAATTGGATAAGTAGTATCACGGACGGCACTCGCAAATTGGATGTTATCCTGACAAAAGATTCATCGGATAAGATAAATTGGGGTAGAGGTACCAAATTAAAAATTATAGGAGATTTAGTGGAAATTGGTAAAGAGAAAATTCAAATTTTACTATCTCATACTGTGACAAATCTCAAATACAATGTCTGATAATTCTATTTGCAGATTCAACTTACTTACTGACGATTTCGAGTCCGTGCAATATAACAACATTAGACGAGAAACCCATGGGATTAAATGATTTGTTAAACGGATGCACGTTAATTTACAAGGAAACGACTTAAAAAGAAACCAATCAGTTCAATCAACCCAAAAATATCGTTTTTCATTTTCGAATAGCCTCCGTAATAAATAATAACCGATCGAGACGAGCCTCGAAAAGTTGCGCCAGAATAAATGTATATGCGGGGATCAATCGAAGTCTCGCGATCGCTTGCGCGCCGGGTAGTAGGTATATACACCGTCGATAAAGCTCTCTCGATGCTTTTGCAAAAGTTGCCGGGTAAAAAAGTGATATATATATACACGCTCGAAGTCTCGAATGTTCAAGAACTGTAAGCCTGCACCGCAGTACATACGTTATACTTATATCAGTTTGCGCGCGAGCTCGCGGAGCTAGAGATGTACGCGCAAGATATATATACGCACGCGAGGCGAGGATACACTACCACTCTGTGCTGCGCCATAGGCGAGTTAAAAATAAGCTGCGTGGATTTTTTTCATCCACCCACCCGGAGTTAATGTTCTTCTATGAACCGGAGTGCGCGCGAGTGCATCGACCTTCGGCGCGCCGCGCATGCATCATCGCATCGCGCGGCTGCGGCAGCAGTGCTTCGAGCAAACTGCATACACAAACACACACACACACATAGACACACAATCTCAAGTCGAGCGAGCTGTAGTAGTAAAACTCCTGCCTTTGCTGCTGCTGCTGCACAATTTTCTCTTTGCTTCGTTCGTCGTCGTCCTCCTGCGGGCCTCCTCTCTTCATGGTCGCTCGCGAGTTAACGAGTCTCAGCTGCACAGCCTCGCGAGCGCGCGAGATCTCGACGTATGCCGCACGTATATGCCCACTAAACGTAAAATATATGTGTATAATAATGTAGCTCCAGCGAGAAGCGACCCGATACGTGCATATGTGTGTGGGGCTCGCGGATCCTCGCGGGCCCCGGCTATATTACAAGCTGTCCCCCAGCAAAGCTGTTCGCGGGAAAAGGCGTATTCTGCGCTTGCATCGAGTCTAGTATATACGCAGTCGATTTGCAGAGTGAGAGAGCCGCGAGCAGCGACCCGACGCGCTTATATATATAAGTAATATTATTATACGCTCCTCCTGCGCACGATAGCGAGATCGTCGTCTTTGTCTATGTCTTTGTTCGCGAGCCTATCACGTATATAACAGCGAACGACGATGACGACGACGACGACGACGAAGGGAACTTTGTCGGGCGTTGAACGAGAAACAAGAAAGAGAGAGAAAAAGAAAGAGAAAGAGAGAACAAATAAACTAGCTGCTACACGCCCGTACTGTGTCGCGCGCGCGCATCTCGTCGTCGCACTTCCCGTGTGTAAAAGTGTATGGAGAACACAGCATGCACGTCTTTTCAGCGCGTGTGAAACTCGCGCGCGACTTTATACCGCATTCAAGCAGGGAGCTGCGCGGAAATTCGAAAAGCGCACACATGCTTTGCGCGCTAAATCAATTCGAGATATCGCGCGCGGGGTCGTACCGATCCGCACGCAATCGAATGAATACGCTCGTACGTAATAGTCACGTCGATCTATCCTATCGATTTCGACAAAAGCTCATATCTCGATCCAGATAATGTATCCTATACCACTCGATCGCCTGTCTGATGCAGTGGTGTACTTGGTTGCCGTTCGCTGCCTGCTCTGCGGATGCGAGGGATCCTCGCGCTCTTATACATATATCCTACCACGGGCTGCACAAGAACGAGCAGCAGATTTATTGGCTCGAGGCTGCTGCTGCTGCTATATGGTCGGAGTCGACGAGCCGAGAGAGCGCAGCGCAGCTAACTCTCCCTCGCTGCTGCTTTGTGCTCGGAGCTCGCGCGCGCGCGCCTTCCTCTCTGATGTTCCTCTTTGCTCGGCTCCTTCGCTGTCCCTTTCTCGCTTCCAGGAAGACGACGAGTAGAGAGAAGAGAGGCAGGCAGCCAGAGAGAAGACGGCGGAGCGAGATAGCAGCGAGAATTTCCTTCTCCTTTGCGCGACTCTCTTCTCTTCTGTGTATGTATGTACGAGTGTGTGTATGTTTCGAACGCTTGAGCACGCGGAGCAAGAGAGCCTGGCCGAGGTTATATACCTTTCCATTTCTCGTCGTCGTCGTCGTCGTCGTCGTCGTAGCAGGCAGCAGTCGTCGAGGCTCTTTGTCCCGTCGAGCGAAGGTGGAATGCGATGCGCCGAGCAGCACTTCTCTCTCTCTCTCTCTCTCTCTCTCTCTCTCTCTCTCTCTCTCTCTTGGTTCTCCTCCACGTTTCGCGCGCGCGCCCGCGCTTTGTTTCTCTTGAACGCGTCGCGCTGCTGCTCATTGGAGAGCTGGACTGCAGCGGCAGCATCAGCACTGCACTATATTATATACAGAGAGAGAATCTCATCGAACTTGGCTCTCGTCTCATCCTGTATACTATGCGCAACAAACTCGTTTCAACAATTTGCACTTAACGATCCACCGCCGCCGCCCCCGCGCGGTGACCTGTAAGCGAGCGACCCTGTACGTACTCGAGCTAGCTCGCGCAATTGTACACGCTTTAGTTCGGTGCACTTATGTATACCGACCATTTTATCGTGTGTGCGCGTTGTCTGCTGCATTTACTCTCGTTCGCGAAAAGGGTGAATACGGCGTGACCCATTGTTCGCGACTCGATGGTCATTTGACAGCATTAAGTTGATTGCGAGTTATTTTTGCAAATCCAGCGCGAATTTATGTAAGTATATGTCGACCCGTTGCGAGCTCCCGATGACGCGCTGTAACACTATAAGGCTCGAATGATCCACCAGCTGATTAAATCACCGCACTCGTAAACGCTGCAGCAGCAGCAGCTCCGAAAACGTTATGCCCTTGATATAATATAGCGAGAGATGCAGTAACAGCAGTTAACAGCAGTTTTAACAAACAGGCGCAGCAGCAGCATCATCATCAGGCGGCGGCATCGGTGTCAAGACAAGATATACGCTTGAACTTGCTTTTCATTCATAAAACTCGTCGAAATGTGCCTTTTGATTATTCGCGGAACCCCAACTTTGCCTCTTTTGCCTCTTCTCTCTTTCATTCTTTCTTTCTCGAATGCACTGCAGCGCATATAAGCGACGACCAGTTCTCGTCGGATCTTTCACTGTGTGTTTGGCCTTTTCTCTCTCTCTCTCTCTCTCTCCGATCCTTGTGTGTACGTGCTCGAGCGCATTATATTGCATCGCTGCGGCTCAAATATATATAATATATATATAGAGGCACACTATATGCACGAGCTCGCGCGCGACGCTTAATCTTGCCAAAAAGAGTCACGGACTCCTCGAAAGGGAAGGGAACCACCGATCGAGTCCGAGGGGTGTCAGCCTATATAGTTCTACACACACATACACATAAACACACAAGTTGCGTATAGCCTCGTTTCTTACTTCTTCTTTGCTTTCGTCTTCTTTTCTCTAACCCTTTGCTGCTCGTTCCTGCTTCTTGCATTCCTGTTTCTCTTTTTTTTCTGCTTTCTTTTTTTTTTATGTACTCCTTTCATATTTTATTTCGACCTTCTTAGCTTTGCGGCTCTTTGGTTCGTTGAGAAAAAGCCAGCAGGCGATGAAACGGCTTTTTTCAGATTAGGGCGCAGCTGAACGAATCGAGTCCTCGAGTCGTCCACATGTAAGCATACAGGCACACACACACTAACTATTCATCATACCGAGTGCATCCTAAAGTCGATGCAGTATTATATACGCTCGTGCTTTTCAGGATTTTCTCATCGTTTATGCCTTATAGGTGCACGCTCGTTGCGATGGGAATTTTCGTCGGGGGGCATACGGACGATCAATTAAAAGCGATCGCCGATTCAATTCCCATTTTGCCGCATCGAGTATATTCGGCTGCAAAGCGCGCGTATGCAATATTCCGCGCGTTGCCACGATGTATAACTCACAACATCGAGACGCTTGCTCGCACACACGCGCTGCACCGGCAGCGCATCGTGGGTCGCTGCTGCTGCTATCCGCTTTTACATGCACTCCGGCATTCCTACGCTTCCTTTAGCCGCGCTTCCACTGCTACATGCCACGGGCATAAAAGCCCACACGATATATACACGCGCACGCATGTACTATATAGGTAGTACGGCAGCACACGTGTTGCTTCTGCGCGCTGTTTATATATGCTGTTGCTCCTCCGCCGCCGCTATCCGCCGCCGACGTGGCCGCACGACGTGCGTGTGAGAACGGAAAATTATTATTGTACTATGGTTACACGCTTTTGCCGAGGGAAGAAGAAGCTGCGTGTATACGCGATGCAGTTAAACTTGCTCTTTCTCTCTCTCTCGCACTCGTGGTGAGACGAACCAAGGTCTCTCACTCACTCTCTCGCGTAATCAGGCACTTGCTGTGGCGCATTTTTTTGCCGCGAGCTCGTGTGCGCGCACGAACGCAAATTATTACCCGAGCTTCGTCCGAGCACCGACTGTATTGTAAGGTTAAAAGTATCGAGCTATACATCGATGTAGTTACGCCGCGTGCACTTGACACCTCTCTCCGGAGCGCTCAAAGTCACCGTAAACTTGTTCGCCTTTATTGCATTGTTAGACTATTATATAGCCATGAAAATGTCCCTGGTAGAAAAATGATCAACGTTAATAATGACATAACGACCAAAAAGTGACTTATTTAAACTTTTCAAAAATTATTACCATTACGTTACAAATATTAAGCGTACTTTGCATGCCCTGAAAATGATAAATTAAGCCTATCCCGCTAGATGGCGAGTACCATTACATGTAAACCTGCTAGTGGAAAAGTAAAAATAATGGTATAAAGCAATGTAGCGTTTTAATCTTCTTTGCACCTAATCACCTTATTTCCATGTGGAAACATGGGAAGAGGAAGGTGGCATTATTCGCAAAATTTGCATGCGGAAAAAAAGCACTCCGCCACCACCAGCTGGTCCATGGTACTTAGCAACTTCATAGTGATAATAATTATAAATATGTTTTATAAGTATATGTTGTAGCACATCCGCTTAGAGGGGGAACGCGGCGGCCCCCGTAACGTCATATTGTTTATAACAAAT